CAGGATAGGTAAATCTATAGACTGTAACTGGATTAACAGTTTCTTCGGGTTATGGCAGAGGAAGTTAGAGGAAAATGGAAGCTAATAATTATGAGTACAAGAAAGAAAAAGCTCTAAAATTGATTGTGATAATTATTACAGAACTCTTCAATATGTTTAAACCACTGGATTGTATGATGTGAATTATATGTCAATAAAACTTAAAAATTTTTAAATATCATACATGAAGCAAAAGGTTTTTAAAAAAACAGGAGGTGGAAGAAAAGAACAACAAAGTGGATGTCAGAAGAGACTCTGAAACTTGCTTTTGGCCATACAATAGCTAAAGCAAGTAGAAGAAATGTGGAAAACAGCTGAACAGAAAATTTCGAAAAGGCAACTCCAGAAAAAGTATTATAATGAAGTGTGCAAAGACCTAGACTTAGAAAGCCAGAAAGCTTATCTCAAATTGAAAGAATTGAAAAAGAAATTCAAGCTTCCAGTTACAATACTGATGGATTCCAGGAGGTGATATTGAACAATGCAGGAGACATGAAAAGAAGAGTTGCTATATCAAAAAGAATTGGTCGCTGGGATGAGCCGGGGCCACCAGAGCTGCCCAGGCGGCCTGGATCGCAGCACCTGGCCTCCCGCGCTAAGGGGGGGGCGGGGGGCAGCTCGCTGGAGGAGGTGCGACAAAAGATAGGGAACCTGCAGGAGCAGGCAGGTACCTCGGGCCAGGAGAGGAAACAGAAGGAGACCGCTGAAGCCGACATCACTCCTCTGAACAGAGGCATCCAGCTGGATCGTGCCCAGGAGCGTCTGGCGACAGCTCTGCAGAAGCTTGAGGGGGCCCAGAAGGCAGCCAATGAGAGGGAGAGAGGCATGAAAGTCATTGAGAGGTGAGCCCAAAAGGATGAGGAAAAAATAGAAATTCAGGAGATCCAACTTAAAGAGGCCAAGCACGTCGCTGAAGATGCCGACCGCAAGTATGAAGAGGTGGCTCCTAATCTGGTCATTATTGAAAGTGACCTGGAAAGTGGAGAGCAGCGGGCAGAGCTCTCAGAATGCCAAGTTCGACAGCTGGAAGAACAATTAAGAATAGTGAATCAGACCTGGAAAGCATTAACGGCTGCAGATAAGTACTCGCAGACAGAAGACAAGTAGGAGGAGATCAAGGTCCTTTCCAACAAGCTGAAGGAGGCTGAGACTCTGCCTGCGTTCACCGAGAGGTCAGTAACAAAGATGGAGAAGAAATCGATGACTTAGAAGACGAGCTGTACGTTTAGAAACTGAAGTACAAAGCCATCAACGAAGAGCTGGACCATGCTCTCAATGACATGACTTCCACGTAAATGCTCATCTACCCGCCTGTTCACACCCGTGCTCTCCTAATACAGTACAAAAGCTCACCGCTGCTCCTACTCTGCCTCCATCGCCTCCACCATCTGTACTCCTTTCTGTTCATTCTCCTGCATGAACTAGCAGAGCCACACTAGTGGGGAGCTCACACTCTACTCATGAAAAGGCCGTGCAGGTGACATCAGTCCAGACGGAAAAAGAAAAAGAATTGGTCAACAATCAACCATTTCAAGAGGTACAATATAGTCATACAATAAAGAACCAAAGGAAGAAGTCCAAATTGCACTGAAGGCATCTGCAAAATGCAAAGCTCTAGAAAGTGATCCAATGTCAACTGAAATGTTTCAGCAAGTCGATGGAGCACTGGAAGCATCAGTATGCCAAGCCAAAAAAATCTGTAAGATTACCTGGCAAACTGACTGGAAGAGATCCATATCTGTAGCCATTCTAAGAAAGATGACTCAACAAAATACAGAAATGCCAAACATCGTCACCAATATCATATGCCAGTAAAATTTTGCTAAAGATAATGCAAAAACTATTTGAGCAGTACATCGATTGAGAGCCACCAAAAATTCAAGCTAGATTTAAAAGAAGACCTGGCATAAGAAATATCCTTTGCTGATGTCAGATGAATCTGGGCTGAAAGAAATAACAGAAAGATGGATGACAGTGGAAGGCCAAAATCCATTTTCAGCGTCCACACATACAGACTAAGCCTCTGATGAATCCCCTCTGACCATAGTTGAGGGATGTGAACAGCCTTGTTATCAGAGAGCATTGTAAAGTTCATTACGGCAGACAAAGTTAAAAGGTATTAACATTTGCTCTCCCTTCTGACCCATTTAAAAGTTGTTGCAGGTTTTTTAAAAACTGAAGAGGAAATGCACATGGATTAAGCCTCTGGTGAATCTCCTCTGATCATAGACCAGGGATGAAAATAAATTTACTATCATGCAGAATGATCTGGAAAATGAATTACTGCAGATGGAGCTAGGTCAAAATGTAACAACCTATCATTTGATCTCCTTTTTGATCCATTTTAAATTTGTTCTATGTTACTAAAAATATTTTCTGCTTTTTTTCTATTAGGTTTTTCTCAGTTTTGCTTTGTTATTGTTAGTCTGTTGTTGTTTGGGGTTTTAATGTGTTTTTTTATATATGGAACCTAGGGCAGGTAAGTCTATAGAGACAGTAACAGGAGTAATAGTTCCTTGAGACTATTGCAGTGGAGGTAGGTGGGAGGGGAACTGAGGAGCTAATAATGAGGAGTACAAGAACAAAGGAAAGGTTCAAAACTGATCATGGTGATGATTGCACAACTCTTCTTGATGTGATTGAACTATTGAATTATATGTGAGCTATATGTCAATAAAACTATTCTTATAGGATGTACTTTGATTATGTACAGGCATTTGACTGTATGAATAAGAAATAACAGATCACACCGAGCAAACTGGGAATCCAGACTACCTCATGTGTGCACAGTTCTACATATAGACCAAGAGAAAGTCATGCAACCATAGCAAAAGAATACGAGTGATTTAAAATCAAGAAAGATGTGTGTGTGTTTTCACCATATTTATTCAAACTGTATGCTGAGCAAATAATCAGACAATATGAAGAGGAAGCAGCAAGATAGGAAGAAGGCTTTATTAACAACCTGCAATATGCAGATGACACAACCTTACTTGTTAAAATCCAGGCCTTGAAACACTTGCTGATGAAAATCAAAGACTTCAGCCTTCAGTACAGGTTGCAACTCATTGTTAATAAAATAACTAAAATCCTCACCATACCAATAGTTGATAAACAAAAACAATTGAGTTGTCAAAGCTTTCACTTTACTTGGATTCACAATCACTGTTCCCAGAAGCAGCAGTCAAGAAATCAAAGGATGTGTTGCTGTGGGTAAATCTACTGCACAAGGCCTCTTTGGAGTACTAAAGAGCAAGGACGTTACATTCGACTAAGATGCTCCTGATGCAAGCCATTATATTTTCAATCAGCAAGTGAAAGTTGGACGATGAATAAGAAAGACCAAAGAAGAACTGATGCAGATTGATGATAGTGATGACGATGAATAATAATATACCATGGACTACCAAAAGAAGGAAACAATCTGTCTCGGAAGAAATTCAGCCAAAATGTTCAACAAAAAAGAGGATGGGGAGACTGTCTCACGTGTATTAGACATGTTATCAGGAAAGACCAGTCTTCGAAAACGGTAACATAGAGGGGAAGCAAAAAGGGAAGACGCTTGACAAGATGGATTGTCACAGTGCCTGTAATAAGGGGCTTAAACATAACAATTGTGAGGATGGCACAGGATTGGGCAGTGTTTCATTTTGTTGTACATAGTGTCACTGTGAGTTGGGACAGACTTGAGGGCACCTAACAAGGACAAGTATCGGCAGCTGGCCTCTGTGGAAGAGATTAAGGACTATGCATTTAGTGAATGTTTATCAGGATCCTGCTATAGGATTGTGAATTGGTCCTCGGGACAGACTTCCTTTGTCCATTTGCCTTCCATTGCTTAAGCCTGTTTAATCAAGATGCCCAATATAGTCACTGAAAGCCTCAATGATTTCTTAAAATGACTTTTTATGAAAACTTCTGAGTGTAGGCCAAGCACGTATCTGTTGGCTCCACTGCTCCAAAAGGATGAGAGCTTTTTGATGCTTAACCCTTCTAGTAATGCATGATAAAAACAATTTCCTTAGCACAACTTTCCTGGCCTTTTTCTCAGCAGTGCAGTTTTCTGCTTTCTTAAAACTTCTTCCTAATAAGTTCCCATGGTTGCTCTGAGTCCTTTGAGAAAATCCATTAAGATTATCCCAAAATTCTAAAAAATCATCATACCCTTCTGAGCTCCCCACTCTGCCTTGAATTGAACTGGTTCCGCAGATCCCCCAGAAGCCACTGTTGTGTTTATACTTTTTAAATGAAGGTGTCCTAAAGATCAAGGCAACAATTGTATGGGGGCAGGACCTGACAGTGTCTTTCCTTCTGTTCTACATAGGGTCGCTGTGGGTCGAAACCGACTCCGTAACCTGAAAACAATTAAGAAACTGAAGACAAATGTATTGGGAGAGAACTTTTCTGCAGGCACCCACTGATCGAAATAGACATGTTTAAATACCTTTTGCTTGGAATGAACCTTAGTAGCAATACTCTGCCTTACCCTGGAACGTTATTGGACATTGTCCCAAGGGAGGAGAATCTTCCTAACCCCACCCCCTTCCATCCTACCTTCCAGTTAACAAGAACTGAAAGGAGGAGGGTAAAGTCCAACATTTGCTATAACAGCTTCTCTACCAAGTTATTTAAAGAAGCATCCTGAAATCATCTCAGGAATACAGCTAGAAGTACAGGATGAAAGTTAACTTGGGGTGAGAAAGGGTAGGCGATAGGCAAGATGTGTGTCCTTAGCGGCGGGCAGTAGACTGCGCTTGGCCCGAGGCGGGGCAGCCGAGAGGGCGGGAAGAGGACCGCCGCGGTGCCACGGGTGGAGGGTGCAGGGAGGCGAGAAGGGCAAAAGGCGGGTCCCGGGACAGCAGAGGCTTCCCGAAAGCACGGGAACTCCCCGCAGCACACCCCTGGAGGGAGAGAACTGCGGCCCGCGCCCTTCGCCGCCCAGGCCGGGGCTCAGAGGGTACCTGACTGCGGGCGGCCGGTCCTCAGCCCCCTCCCGCCGCCCCGGATGGAAATCAGACCGCTTCTCCACAGAGCCGCGACCCTCGACAGCGCCGCCAACATAACGCGCCTCTGGGATCCTCAGTCCCTGCGTGAGAAAGAACATGCGCTGTCCGCAGCCAAGCGAACCTGCCACTTCCAGACCTCGGGCTCCCGGGACTGGGGCGGGACGAAGGCGGGGCCGAGGCGAGGCCGAGGCGGAACTAGTTGTCTCTGTGCCGCCTCACCCCCCCTGGGAGGGCGTGAGTTCATTTGTCTCGACCAATGGGTTCAGGCTCCGCCCACTTCAGTAACCTATTTAATCAGCCGGTCCTGCCGGAACGTAAGAGCTCCCGGAACTAATGTGTAAGCGGCCGTAGCAGCGGGGGGACTGTTTTGGTACCGGGCTACCAATTCTCCGTGGAGGATCTGTCTCTTCTAGACAGTTCCGGCGGGAGAGCCCGGCGGCGAAGACTTCGTTCTCGGCTCCTGATATGCACCGGCCGAATTTTAGACCTCCGACTCCGCCTTACCCCGGCTCCGGCGTAGGCGGTTGGGGTAACGGGGGCAGCTTCCGAGGTACGCCCGGCAGTGGAGGACCGAGGCCGCCCTCCCCTCGAGACGGCTACGGGAGTCCGCACCACACGCCGCCGTACGGGCCCCGGTCGAGGCCCTTTGGGAACAACCACTCACCACGGCAAGGTGGCAGCTTCTCAGGAGGCCGGTTCGGATCCCCGTCCCCTGGCGGCTACCCCGGCTCTTACTCCAAGTCCCCCGCGGGCTCCCAGCAGCAATTCGGCTACTCGCCTGGGCAACAGCACACCCACCAGGTAGTAATAGTCGCCAATGTTGGCTGAGTTCTGTGTGGCAAGTACAGTAGTCGTCATCCCTTTCGCGAGTATTTTAATCTTTTATGAGACTGTCGTTTTATGAGGTTTACTGTTGTTGGTCCTGTTTTGCAGATGAGTGAACTGAAGCTTAGACAAGTAATGTTCCTAAGATTACCCTACTAAAGTGGTAAAGTGATAGTTTTAAACCCTTGCATTCTGATTCCAAACACATTGGTCTTAGCTAGGATACTGCCACTCATGCACAGATTTCCTAATTCTTTAGAAGAGTAGCCTTGTCATTGACCTGTTCTGAGGTGTAGGAGAGGAAACAGATGAAGCCCTGAACTAGCGCTTATCTACGCTATAGACTGCTGCTATCATCCACCTGCAGTCACCTTCGTTGTCTTTTTTCTAACCACCAACTTCTGCTTTCCACTCAACAAAAAATAAACAGGTGGTAGAAGTGTTTTATTCTCAAGTGAAAATGAGTAGAGGGGGAGTATTTGGGTATATTTAGCTTGACATTAGGTGCCATCAAATGAGTGGCGCCTCACTACGACCCGATGCACAAGAAGATGAAGCACTGCACAGTCTTATGCCATCCTCACAGTGTGCTTGAACCCATTGTTGCCGGCGTGTTAGGCGGCTCTGTGGTTTGCAGGAGGAGCTCTGGTGGAGTAGCGGTTACACGTTGGGCTGTGATCTGTAAGGTCAGCTCTTCAAAGCCACCAGCCTCTCCATGGGGGAAAGATGTAGACTTACAGAAACTCAACGGGGCAGTTCCATCCTGCCTTATGGGGTTGCTCTGAGTCGGCATCGCCTCAGGGCAGCGAGTTTGGTTTCTTGTTTTGGGTGGCTTACACAGTGCCTATGTACTGGTGGCTTTCCAAGGATCCTTGATGGCATATTGGGTTAAGAATTCGGCTGCTAATCACAAGTTCCAAGGTTCTAACCCACCCGCTGCTATGAAGGTAGAATGATAAGACTGCCTGCTCCTCTATAAAGATTTATAATTTCAGAAACCCTATAAGGCAGTTCTACTCGGCCCTATAGAGTCTGAATCTTGATGGCAGTGTGTTTGGTTTTTGGTTTGATGATATTCCAAATTTTGTGTATGTTAAACCAGCCCCACCCTTCTAAGGCTGGTAATAGGGAAAACATTTCCAGGTTTGATAAGTTCTGGAAATGTTGAAACTGTAGAGTCACTAAGTTGAAATCAACTCCATGGCAGTGAGTTTGGTTTTGGAGGGTTAAAAAAAAAAGTGTTGGTTGTTTTGGTTTAAATTTTCCTCCAAAAAGAAAAGATGGACAATTTTGAAAGAGGAGTTAAAATTTGGAGCAATTTTTCATTGTATCGTTTTATAGGTCTGCAAAGTTACAAAAGGGCTGCAATAACTTTCATGTAAAAAAAAATTCCATTCTCTTTTAAAGCTATTTTCCACAAAATTTCAGAAGCCTCCTTCTATACATTAGAACCCCGCCTTGTATACATTAGAAACCCAAAAGTATATAAGATAGTGGGATGAGAATTAATAAACAAGAGCACTGGACTAAAGGAAACATGGACATTGGAGATGTTTAGCTGTTTAAAGTGCCAAGTGTCAGTACCAAATGTTTTTTTAACTACTAATATTTTTTTTTCCTAAAGGGTTCTCCAAGGACATCTACGCCATTTGGATCCGGGCGTGGTAGAGAAAAACGAAAATCTAATGAGGTAGAAAGCTATTTTAAGCCTTCAATGCTTGAAGACCCATGGGCTGACTTAGAACCAGTATCTGTTGCCGATATAAGCCAACAGTACACCAATACTCAAACGTTCACGGGCAAAAAAGGAAGGTACTTTTGTTGACATTTTTGAAATTCACCTAGAAGATACCTCTATCCAGAACATCTTGGACAAGAAAGTGTTGCTACTTAACGTGAATCATGAGCCCTCTCTGTGACTAGTCAGCCCCATGCCTTTCAGATCCACTGGGCCTAGTGGGACAAGAATGTTTCAGGTGGGAATCCTAAGGCGATGGCTTGATATCCTCATGATATAAAGCATCATTGGTAATAGAGAAAAAATATGGTAAGGGAATTTGTAATATTTACCTTTTTGGTGTTGGTGCCACATTTTGGAATATTTGTAGTTTTCATATATTTAAAACTTGATTATGTAATGGGCATGTATCTTTTAATGTTTCCTGAGCATTTTGAAATAAACATTTTTCTTTCTATATTGTGGTCTTGTATGCTGAAAAAGTAGAATTACAATAATGCTTCATAAACAGGTAGCTTATCTTTTTTGGGGGGGGGATTATTTTATTGAAGGCTCTTAATTAGTATTCTAATCCATATATCAGTTGTATCAGGCATATTTGTACATATGTTGCCATCATTCTTTTCTAGACAATTACTTTCTATTGAGCCCTTGGTATCAGCTCCTCTCTTTTCCCCCTTCCTTCGCCCCACCTTTGTGACCCCTTGATAGATTATAAATTGTTATTATTTTCATATCTCACACCGACCACTGTCTCCCTTTCCCCATGGTTCCCATTGTTCCCCCTGGGGAAGGGGGATTATGATCCATTCCTCAACACACACCCCTTTTCTCTCTGCCGAACTGGTTTTGCTATTCCCATTCCTACTCCTTGGTTGCGTGTGTTGTGAGCTCTTATATCCTATCTATACATGTGTATAAGCTCTGGTCTAGTCCAAAGTGAAGTTTCACTGGGATCATGGTAGTGGGGGGTGAGAAAGCCTCAGGGAACCAGAGGAATAGTGTGTGTTTCATCAGTGCTTTACTGTGCCCTGGTTGACTTATCTGTGACCACTATGGGGAATTTTCCATTGTCTACAGATGATCTTTGGGTCTGTGCTCTGACCCCCCTTGTTCTCAACCATGCATTTTGTCTTCAGCAATTGTACTGGGATGGTGAACATCTCAGATTGCCCATTTGTTAAAAGTCTTCTTGTATTGAGGGAGGGTATGAGCAAAGTCCATCCACTACCTCAGTGTATTGCCATATAAATATATGTACATAGGCCAATACCTCTTTTTATGGATTAATGTATTTACATATGGACACACCTATGCTTATGCCTCTATCCATAGCTTTGCTTCCTAGATCATTCCTCTGTTTCCTTTTACCTTCCTTTTTCCCCACCATGACGCTTGCCCTACTTTTGCCTCATAGTACTTCCTTTCAAAGTAGCTTATCCTTTGGAAAGTACTTTTTAAAATGAAAGTGGTAAACCATCTTTTTAGCTATAGATAATTCTATATTTGTTTATAGGGAGAGAAGAATGAAGGAAGAGAATGAAGAATTTTATACCAGTATATTCATTCATATTTATTATAACCATTGTTCAGCTAGAATATTTTGTCTAATGCTTTTGTAAAATCGAATTAAAACTTCATTGGAAGTGACAGAACTTCCCATTAGCTTAAGTAAAACAGGGTATTTATGCACTCATTTAAAATATAAGCATAGATGGATCAGGGTGTTCTGTGTCTGCATTTCTCTTCTCTGTATGTCTCAGGGTTGTATTGTCGCTTTTTCCAGAGGTTAAGAAAATTTACTGTCATTAGTCTCAAATTCACATCCATTGCAAAGAGAGCAGATCCCAGTTCTATCAACCCCAGGGAAAACCGATAAACCAAGCTGGTATCATGTTTCTATTCCTGAAACAATAACTGACCAAGAAAGTGTTGCTTACCTAACTTGAATGATGAACCCTTCCTGTCATGAGAGCCCCCACTCTCTGTGTTTCAGCTCCGTTAGGTTTACCTGGAGTAGAGAAGTGGTTTTCCAAAGGAAGATGTGATATATATTTATATACCTCTAGTAATGAACCAAAGTTCTCACAAAGACCAAAATTCTCACAAGTGGACCAACATGTTACCTAACATGATAAATGAAGAAAGGTTGCAAATGTCAAAGGTTTTGTCTTGCTTGGATCCAAAATCAGTGGAAGCAGCAGTCAAGAGATCAAAAGACCAGTTGCATTCGGTAAAATGAATAATTTAGGACAGGGATCCTCAAACTATGACTCGCGGGCCACATGCGGCCCACCAAGGACATTTATCCGGCCGCCGGGTGTTTTTGCCCCGTTTTGTTTTTTTACTTCAAAATAAGATGTGCAGTGTGTATAGGAATTTGTTGATAGTTTTTTTTAAACTATAGTCCGGCCCTCCAATGGTCTGAAGGGCAGTGAACTGGTCCCCTGTTTAAAAAGTTTGAGAACCCCTGATTTAGAATATTGAAAAGCAAAGGTGTTACTTTGAGAACTAAAGTTCACCTGATCCAAACCAGGGTATTTTCCATTGCCTCATATGCATGTGAAAATTGGACATTAAGGAAGACCAAGTAAGAATCAATGCTTTTGAATTGTGCTGGAGAACAATATTGAAAGTACTCCAGACTATTAAAAAGACAGTCTGATTTGTCTTGGAAGAAGTATGGCCAGAGTGCTCCTTAGACCCAAGGATGGCAAGATTTCATCTTACATACTTGGGAAACTTTTTCAGCAGAGACACAGCCTTGGAAAAAGACATCATGCTTGGCAAAGTAGAGGGGCAGTGAAAAAGAGGAAGGCACTCAGTGAGATGGATTGACTCAGTGTTTACAACAATGGGCTCAGGCATAGGAACAATTGTGAGGATGTTACTGGATCCAGTAGTGTTTCATTCTGTTGTGCATAGGTTGCTATGGGCCAGAGCCTACCCCTAACCAACAACAATAGTAATGGAGACAGGAGAAAGATGAAGGGTTTTGCTCCTGTAAAAATTTGCCCTCAGAAACCCACAAGCGGTTCTGCTCAGTCTTATGGGGTCACCATCAGTTGAAACTGACAAGTTTTGGTTTGGCTAATGGAGAGGAAAAGCACTTGTTTTTCCCTAAAAATTTAAACCCAAATCAATTTTTGTGCAGGTATTTTTATGTTTTATGAGGTCACGTTATAGTGAAAATTGAGCTGGTAAAATTTTAAGCATCTCCAGAAAAAAAAAAAACTAACTACGTATATGAGTCATACTACCTCTTAGAACTATGCTCAGCTCTTGTTCATTAGGTCTTTTGTAAAGACAAGAAGAAATGAGAAGGGTTTCAAGTGAATAAAACATCCTTAAGAGATGGGAGTTTGGAAATCATTTCTATCTGAGTTACTTACCGGTAACTACTCTATGCCTCAGTTTTTTCACTTGTAAAATGAGAAAGTTAATAATATCAATGTTATAAAACTGTTGTGTTTGGAAGATTAAACAGGTTGATCTGTGTGAAACTAGGGGCAGGGTTTGACATGCAATAAACTCTCAATAAACCCAAAACCACGCTCACTGGCATCGAGTCGAAGCCACTGTATAGGATAGGGTAGGACTGACTCTATGAGTTCCCAAGACTGGTGGTTTTGAACTGCTGACCTTGCAGTTAGCGTCAAATTTATTTCTAGCCCCATTCCTGTTGTCTCCGTTCTTAGAACAGTGCCTGGCATCAAGCACCAAAGAATGAAAAATCATATCGTGAATGAGGGGGAGTACAGGGTGGGGACCCAAGGCCCATCTGTAAGCAACTGGACATCCCTTTGCAGAGGGGTCATGGGGAGAAGACGAGTCAGGGTGCAGTGTAGCATTGATGAAACATAAAACTTTCCTCTAGTTCATAAATGTTTCCTCCACTATCATCCCAATTTTATCTTACAAACCTGGCTAGACCAGAGGATGTACACTGGTGCAGATGGAAACGGAA